TTGTGATGCAAGTAGCGTTTTTTGCGGCAGCAATCTTTCCTTTCTTATACCGATAGCTCTACTCGCACATATACGTGCATAAATTGTAGGCGGCTTAGAAGTGCTGATAAGACTGATATGATGCATAACGCATCCATAAACGATGTATAAAAGTATGAATGGCACATTCTTCTTATACTGATAGTGTTGAGAGGAAAACGTTCCTGTATAGGCTCCTCCAAAGTATGTAGTTTAAAAGTACTGTATTAAAAATATTTTATACATTTTTACTTCTCTCTCTCACTTTTTAATTTTCTACTTTTTTTGTTTTTATTATTTTCTTAGTTGTTATTATTTTATTTTTCATTACTTTATTCTATTATATATATATTTTTTTTTTTAGTTTGTTAATTATTGTATTGTTTTTTCAGCGCTTAAGAGAATGCAATTTTAGGGCACTAAATAAATATTGATATTTATCTATTTATCTCTCTTCTTCTTTTTATATTTAATGTTTTATATTAATTTAAATTCTTCTTATGTAACTTTATTTTTACATGAATAAATATCTGCATTTCTTATAATAAAATAAAATCCTGTTCTCATATATAATTTAGTCACGCTATATCTGAAATTAATAAAATTTGTATAATCGTAAGGATCGTAAAACTGCAGAATATTTGTAAGATTTGTTTGCGATAAAAGTCTGCAGACTAAGAAAGTGACAGCGGTGGAGCATCGACAGAGCGACTTCGCCATATGACAACGAAGTCAAGCGAGTCAACGGCCCTAAACGTCAAGCGGAAAGGGCGGAAACGGCGGGCCGTGCATAAATAAGCGCCTGGAAACCACAATGCGTTTGCGGAGACGTCGCGTGTGGGCAGCGGCCGAGCGGTACGTGTATCGGCCATTCGACCTGAAAATCAATGTGAAACAATTTGGCTGACGACCTCTCACGTGACACGCCGTAAATCTCCAGGACATCGATGATCTTTGCAGGTATTTGGTTCCAACACGCCGCAATAGAATATAACGCGTTGTAACAGCGAGAAACGGACTTATCGACATTGGGATCTTAAATCTTACGAAAATGCATACAACATATAATAATAAGCAATATATATATTATATA